TGGTTCATGGGGTCACGAAGAGTCGGACACGACTTAACGACTAAACAACAACAACAAAGGTTTTCTGTCTCTTGCCTGTGAGCATCCCAGAGGCATCGGATTGACCACTGTAAGAAACAGAGTGTTAAACCAGGGTGTGCTTTGGTCTGACGCAGCAGAATTATTTTTACGTTTTTACATATATCTTTGTTCCAAGCAGAACTAAAACTTGTTTATTAACCATATTAACCTGAAACCAGAATATATAAAAAATCCATCTCTCTCTCTCTCTCTCTCTCCATCCATCCATCCATCCATCTGATTTGAGTGCTTTATAGATAGAAAGATAGGTTTAAATTGCGTGTGTGTATGTATGTACGTATGCATACATACAGATAATTTAAACGTATCTTTCTACTCGTAAATCACTGAAGTCAGTTAATCACTATAAAAAATCTGAAAAAACCCAACTCCTAAAACAAGGATTAAGCTCAAAATGTCTGGCTGAAAAGGAAGATTTAAACTTTTGTGCTGGAAGAATTGAGGACAGCAGCCAACACGATTCCTGAAAGAGTGCATTTCCACAGTTAGGGCGGTGACATGAGATGGTTTCAAAGCTCCAAACATCTGCATGAACATCTGCCCTTTTTTATATATAGTAATTTTACTGAATATTACAGTCTAAAAGATAAGAACTAACACAAACTAAAAAGAAAAAAAGAAAAAGAAAAAATAGAATGTGCAGAAAAGAAGGTAAAAAATAGAAAGAAAAATAGGAAAGGAAAAATAAGAATATAGTAAAGAAAAAAATATATATAAAGAAATGACTTCTCCCTTCATAATAAGTATAAACGATTTTAGTAACTTATCACCTTCTCTTAAAATACAACAAATGATCTCTTCTTCCCATATCTTATCTCTTCTCTATAAACAAGATTTGTTTAAAGAACACCTGCCTTTAAAAAAAAAGGAGAGAAAAGGTTAAGCGACACATAGCAGAGAGATCTCCTTTCTCTTTTGCTCTAAATGTTGAATATCAGCAGTGGGAGGTTTTGCTGTCAATGCTTGATAAATAGGTCATAAGCTGCTCTTCACAACAGCTTGAACTACACCCTGTTCCCTGAGAAATAATAAGAGGGGTGTTTAGATTCAGAGATAGAGGGGGGCAGAAAACAGTTTTTTGGAAGCAATAAAGTCTCTTTGTTTTCTTGCAATTTGCTCGAAAGCAAAATTTTACAGATGGCAGGAATGTCTGCAGGGAGGGGATAAAAATGTCAACATGGCTGCCACAACCATGTGATCGAAGCCCTGCCCTTTTTACAGGAGGGGAGGGGCTTTGATCACATGCTTGTGGCTGTTGTCTTAACTTTTTTTTATTCCCCCCCCAACGCTCCTGAAAACTTTTTCAACTGATTGCAAATTTTTGTACCCATTATGATGTCCACAGGGTTTTTTCCAAAACAAAGCAGTGAACTGCAACCGCCCTTCCAGATGAGGCAAAGAAGAGAAGGAAAAGGATAAGAAGGTTCAGAAACTCCAAATTTGGTGAGAGATTTAGATGAGGAAGATTTTGAAAACATCTCTAACAAGCTCTTAGAAATGTATTATTGGAGGACTTTTGGCCCTTTTGCATTTTGCCCTTTCAAAGACAACCAAACAGATTAAAACATCCAGATGTCATTAAGATGAATAAAGCTAATTCGAAGTGAGGGCTTGGCCCTCATTGATGTCAGGATGGAGACAGACCTGACTGGCTGTTAAATATTATGCCATATTTTGAGGAAAAACATTGATCTGTAGTTTTTTGTCATGGAGCAGGGAATGTTCATGGGAGGCAAAAGAACCATTTAACGTGAGAGAGGCAGACTTCTGGAAATCTATTGAGGGCTTCCTCAAACATCCCTGCCCATAAAACACCCACACCCACAATATGTTGTTTTGGGAAAAAAAGCCGGTCTGTAAATATTCAGTGCAGCCTGAAAAATATTTAATAGAAGATTTAATCTCAGCATTGTACTTTCCGTGTTTACATGAACAAACACATTCAGCAAACTATATAACTAGCAAGTGAATTTGCATGTGAGAGCAAGGGTCTCGTCTAGCTGGTTTCATTCAGTCTGTACAAACTGGTTGTTAGATTTTATTTATTTATTTATTTATTTTTTACTGCTGTCCCTGAGTTTCTTCCTGGGGAGCAGAGTGGAACCTCCATGCACAGGCTGGGCCTCCAGAGCACCAGGCATCCTGCACCCTTTCTACTTCTTGCAGGAGAACAATGAGAGTCCTACGCATTGGACAGCTTGGAGCAACAGCCCTTTCATTAAATTGAAGAATTTGTCAGTCCCCTATACTAACCACTGCAGCCAATCTTCTGTGCTTAGGATTGTTGAAGAGAGAGAAACCAGGGATGGACTGACTTTGTTTAATGAGTGGTGTGTGTGTGTGTGCACACACACACGTGTGCACATGTGCATGCTTAGTCAATGTATTGTGGTTCCATTGCAAAGCAAGGGAGGGGAAGAAGGGAAGCTGCATCAGGGATGTCCACAGGGAGGTCAGATTGAGTCAAGAAAGTGGCCACACCTATGCAGCTGAAGCCCCCTCCCTTTCGTTCATGCATGATGATGTTGCATGAACATCCAAATGAGGCGGAGCTTGTGATGCAACAGCACAATGCTGCTGACACCCATCAACACCCTGGTGTGAGAGTCCAGGCAGTATTATAAGGATAATGAAAAACAAAAAATAAAACCTAAACTACTGTAAAACAAGATGTAATCTGCTCCAGAAATTCATACCAGGAATGTGTGCGTGGGGGATGAGTGCATTCCTGAATTATCGTTTTTCTGAACTTGGTTATTCTGTGTAAAATTGAGTCTCATCCAAACTGTTCTCTTCCCTCTGGAGGAAATGAGACAAATATTCATGAAAAACCCAAGCAAGCTGACATAATCAAGTCAGGCAAGAACATTACTTTCATTACTCCATTCATTTTGACCTTGCACATTTTCCTACCTGAAGCCTGCATGTTTGTCAAACATGGGAAAGAGTATAGAGCTGTTTTCTTTAGTTCTGTTTCTTGTCTTTTCGGAGAGAAAATGGGCTGTCATGATGATTAACAGGATTCTAAACTAGTTAAGCCTTTTGGTCTAATCTTATACAGATGTTTTCTGGTGTTTTCTAAGAATGCTTTGTTCAAATAACATTAGAGAGGATTTTCCAGGAACTCTAGGAAGTTAGAACTCATACCAACAGTTGGATATATCTTTTCTCGAATGCACACGCATTCAAGGAATGTACCTGAACGCCAAAGCACATACTGGTCTTCCATTTCCTGTGCTGCATTTGTCAATATACATCTCCTGATAATATTTTGGAGGACCAGGATGTTTTCCAGGTATATCTTTAACACAAGGTACCAACGCCCTCTGAGCTTTAACATCTATAAAGAATAAAGCAATTGCAGTGTAAAACAATATAGAGGAAGTCGTTAAAGTTAGGCAATTTACAATAACGTAATAAGGGATGGCACACACTGAAAGTATACTTAGATGAGGACCAGAATGTTACCATTGTGCCTGTACTTCTACCTAAAATACGTTAAAAGCAATGTGAACTCATAATGAAAAAGGCTGCTAGTTCTGCATTTCAGTATAACTGAAGCTGTTCCACTTTGACTGAAAGCGTTGTATGTTTTGGTGCTGCTCCATTAAAACATACACACCTCCAGACAGACAGGAAAATGTCTTGTTGTGAAGAGAGCCAGGCTAATCCTGGTCCTCCCTTACAAGCTAGCTTTCTGCATGCAAGTCTTATGCAATACTTATGCATTTCTTTGCAGAGAAGCATTTTGACATATCAAATTCTACCTCTAGTTTGAAATGGTGCTACCTGAGAAAGCCATCTTTGCAGGCTTTGGAATTGTTGTCATGTGTCCTCTCCCTGCAAAGATGATCATGGGAATCTGCTACATATGGTGCACGTGGCCATCTTGCATAAGTAGGTGGAAAATTCAGGATGGTTAAGCTGGACGTCTTGTTAAAGTGACTGAGGACATCTGAGGGTTTCCTAAAAGTGTGTATGGGGGATGGGGGGAACAGATAAAGGTTTTATTGCCTGATCGATAAAGTACACTAAATGTATTGCCCTGAAAATTTACCTAAAGTTAACTAGAGTTGGCTAATTTTTCCCCCGTTTTCCATTGGCCAGCTTTTCCCAATTATTTCATATATTATGGACAATGGCTTAAGGTATCCATTTGACCTTTTAACCCCACAATTCCCCACTCAGAAACCCCAGGCTTTGTACTCACCTAATCTGGTGACATTCCTCTTATATTTGCTCTTGTGTTCATAAAAAAGGAAAAGAAAAAAAGGGGAGTGCAATGCTTTTTATTAATCAGGAGAGAGGTGTGATTGATTATGTGCCATCCTGTTGGTGTCAACTCTTAGCAGCTACATAGATTTTCTCCAGGATGATCTGTCTCCATTCTGGTCCTTCAGATCTTCCAATGGTACACCCAACAACCATGCTGAAAAAAGCCTTGGTGCTTGTACAGATGAAGGAGGAGAAAAACTACAGCTTATCTGGGGATGGGAGGAATTTTGCCAGGTCCAAGTAACCTATAAAATGATAAAATCAGATCTAAAAATAATGGTTTGATTTAACTTAATTTTTAAATAAAAGAATTAAGAGTCCTTGCCATTTTTGAACTTTGCAGAATCAGGTACCACTGCTTTATGATATCTCTCCTTAGGACAGCATGGAATGGGAGAAGCCAGAAAGGCTGCAGTCACTAGAGAACAAATTGTACAATGAATTACAGAACATTTACATGTGGACCAGATAGATGCAAAACTCCACACTCGGCCCTGAGAAAAATCAGGAAGAATCTGGTAGCGCCTTTTCTGACTAACACATTTTATTAGAAGGTGTGAGCTTTCATGAACTACAGCTCCATGGCCACTCCATGCAGCTGATGAAGTCAGCTGTAGCTCACAAACGCCTATGCCTTTAACAAAAATTTGAATTTTTTTGCTACCAAAGACTAGCGTCTTTGGTCTTTGACCTGGGCCCTGGATCATTTTTCCAAAATTCTCTTTAAAAAAAAAGAATTTCTAAAGCAAATTCTCTTTCATCAAATCAATTTTTTATGCTCAGGGCTACCTAAAATAGACACCAGATCTGGGCTACAAAAATCTAGAGGACCTCCAGAAAACCTAGAAAATGTATTAATCTAGTGAGCAGGTTAAGCAGGCTGTATGAATATAAAGAAGAGATATATAAAGAAATGACTTCGCCCTTCATCAAGACAAGTACAAACAATTTCAGTATTTTATCACCTTCTCTGATACTACCACAAAAGATCTCTTCTTCCCATATTTCATCTCTTATCTATAAACAAATTCTTAAAGCTTTGTCATTCAGTCCTATTCAGAAAAAGTCCATTAAGAGTTACCAGAAATAACAACATATATATTTTAACCTCAATCAAATAAACCAACTTTATATTCCTTTCCTTTCCTTTTAATGCAGTAACTTATAGCTTTCTCTGAAAATACAACAAAATATCTCTTCTTCCCATATCTCATCTCTTATCTACAAACAAATCTTTAAAGCCTCGTCATTCAGTCCTGGTCAGCAAAAATCCAATAGGAGTTATCAGAAATAACAACATATATATTTTAACCTTGATGAAGGGGAAAGTCATTTCTTTATATACCTCTTTTCTTTTCTTTTTTTACTATATTTTTAATTTTTTTCTTTTTTTTCTCTACTCTTTTTCTTTTTTCTTTTTACTCTTCTATATTTTTCTTAGTTTGTATTAGTTTTTTATGTTCGTATTTTTAAACTTTAATAAAAAATATTATATAAAAAAGGAGGCTGTGTGAATGTAGTCATTGAAAGTGGACTGACCTCACAGCACAGTCTAACCAGTAAGGACTGGTGATGCAATATGTCACAGAAGATAAATATGAAGAATGGAGAATGAAAATAGATAAGGCATTAATTCTTCTATTAGTCACATGGATGATTCAACCAATCATGAACCATAGAATGAATAAGTTGACACTTTGGTGTTAAATGAGCAAGCTGGTTTGACTAGATATGATGTGAGACATGAGATATGAAACATGAGATAATAATATCTAGCCTATAAAAATCTGGATGACCCGCTAGATAGCAGCAAAAACTAGGATTTTCTGTACTTTTTTCTGTCATCTGGAGGTCAGACCAATTTTTGCAACCAACCTATGGTAGCCTTAGTTATATGAAGCCCACCCTTTCCACAGCCAAGAGTAAGGGTGCCCACTCCTAGGTCAGAAGCACAGGAATCAGACCTTTGGGTTACCTCAGTATTATCAATGCCCCAGATCTTTCAACTAATTCTGTTTCACTCAGCTACAGCCCTTGATTCTGCTGTATATATAAAACTAGGTATTGAGCAGTTGTGAAATTTTATATAGTCTCAATGTCTGCCCTCACCTTCAGCTTTTATTAGCATACATAAATTTTATCCTATTCCAGAATTGCAGACTTCATCTCAAGGCACTTCAATCTTTACTAAGATAAAGTGTTTGCTGGAGTTCTTCTTCAACTGCCTGGCATAAGCATGTGCGAGTGAAAGATTAACAGTTTTAAAGGGTAGGGCAGTTAAGTGGCAATATAAAGAGAAAAGGATATGGAGTGAAGGGGAGGAACATCAATCCACAACTGCATGAGGTTCATCAGGGTGAAACTTTTAAAGAAAGTTACAATTAACCAAAGTATTCTCAAAGTGTGCTTATTCCTAACTACATTATTCTAGAATTTTTTATTCTAGTGCAGTGCCAGAGTCTGTTTTCCCCAAAGTGTTCTTCACCTACAAAACAGGCTTCTGTTTTTCTAATCTTGGGATGCTTGAGAATTTCTTTAGAATTCCTTTTGGTGGTGGTTTTGAGCTAACTTTATGGTTGGAGATGATAGAACAGCTCCTGGTTATTTGTGATCCAAATCTTTCCATCCTCTAAAGCTTCCATGGCTGCCCACACTGTGCAGTCTGAAAAAGTCCATTAATGGAGCTCTTTTGTAAAATAGTTGTGCCATGAAAGACATACATGCCTGGGCCACCTTGTAGCAAAGTAAATGCAAAAACACTACCCACTAGCAGGAGAACTCCACCAAAAAACAATCCAAAGCTATTTCTTAACCAAAGTTAAGAAACCAAACCTTCCATCTTTGGAGGTTTCCAAGAAGAGGCTGGACAGCCACTTCTCCTAGATGTTTTTCCTGGACATAGCAGAGGGTTGGAGTAGTTGATCCTTTTGGCCCCTTCCAACTCTACAGTTCTATGATTCAGTGATTCTACAGCAAGAATGGTCCAAAAATGTGAATGTTTTCAATACAGCACTATCTTAGCAGCTTCTCTTACCTTGACTGTTAGAACCCTCCCTTCACTTTACACTGTGCCTCTCCTTCCTCTGTAGAGAAAACTGAAGTAAGGCATGGTTTTCTGCTCTGAACCCTTCATGCAAGCATGCTCAATCAAGTTTGATTTCTCAAATTCAATTGCTGATTCAAATTGAATACATTCAACAATTTGAATCAAATTGACTAATTGGTTGGAGCAGATCTGCAGCTCTAACTAGTCAATAATATGACCGCAGAGGGCAGCAGAGAACCATGCTGTGTGTAGCCTGTAGTTTCCTAAGCATATTTGCTCCCCCTCTTCCCATGGTGGAAATTTTGAGCTCTCCATGGTAGTTGGAAAAGGGGATTTTGTAACGGAGTACTGAGTTTCTTTCTAGTGGCAGCTATTGGATGATTTGAGGACTTATTTTAATTGTTTGTTAAGTATGGCCCAAAGGGGTATCAAACTTAAAAATGTTTCAGCTGATGCCCCTTTAGTGTGTTGTTTTTAGAAAACTGAGCAGCCTGATCTTCTGAGCATTACACAGAATTCCTCCCGTGCAAGTTTTGCACTAGCATCATTCTACCAGAAGCTGATTCCTAAAATTATGTAGTCCATTTGCATACAAATGATCTGGCCTTTCTGATAATCTCCAAGTTTCATGGCTGCAACAGCCTCCTTTTCTCCAATGCTCAAGACTTCTGCTTGATCTGCATATTGAAGTGAATTCATCTAATTTGCAATTCCAAAACTAATATGCAGATTTGCAAAGCAATTTACATTCCATTGACCTGCAAGCTTTGTGTTAAAGCAAGTAAGGGAGTTTTTTTTTTTTAAGCATGCCAGAATTCATATGTTAGAAGGAAGTACACACAAAAGTATACTTTAGAAAGCCTACGTTGAACTTAAATTAAAATTCCCCAAAAAGCCAAGTGGGATCAGACAAAGGCTTACCTAATACAACATTTGCATTCCATTGTGGCCATTAAATGCTTGTGGGAAATCCATAAGCAGAACGTAAGTAGAACAGGGTTTTGCTGCTTGTTTTCCCCAGCTAGAATAACGGGTAGGTAATTATTTAACTCTGTGAATCCAGACTAATCCCATTCATCAATTTAACCTGGTTGACTGTTTTAGGCAATCAATCCAAAACAATATTTATTTATTGTTTTAATGTGCTGTGAGCCACCCAGAGTCCCCTGTTGGGGGGAGATGGGCGGGGGACAAATTTAATAAATAATAATAATCCAAGATGGTTACCCACACTGAAGATTAGACACTCCTAAGCGAAGAGTGTTGGCTGCATTATGACATGGTGATGTCATGCTGCCTACATGATCTCTTAAGCAGAATGAAAAAGCACCTTGCATATCATTCAAAGTGGCTGCATGTGTGGCTAATATAATGTGGCTCACTGGCTGGGGAATTCTGGGAGTTGAAGTCCACCCACCTTAAAGTTGCCAAGTTTGAAAAACACTGATGTAGCTGCTATCAACTGCTATGTAGTTGCCATCTGGGGAAGAAGAGATGAATTATGCAACATTGTTTTAAATTTAATTAAATGGAAGCTTAAATTTTAAATGACTTCAAATATGACTGGGGTCATAATTATGCCCACTTGTTTGTCCTGGCTCCAGCCCATTTTTGGCATGTGGTTGCTGGCTCAGCTCTCAGGCCCAAGAAAGCTTGTGCACCCTTGTTGATTGTATACCTGCTCTTGCCCTCTTGTTCATTTTTGTATATTAAAACTGGAGTGTGTCAAGTTGCAAAAGGTTTGGCTACAAAACATCAGGAATTTTTGATGCCGCCTCAATTGCCTCAAGTATATTTAATATACTTTGTCCCTCTGACAATATATAGCAGTCTCCTGATACCAAGGGACATTCAGAGGCCTTCTAGCCAGCTACCTGGGGATAACCAATTTTACAGTTTTATGTTAGTTATTCCACCCATGGGAGTAGATCAAAGTTTGTGCCTTTACTTTTAAAAAAATTATACCAGTCAATACCTTTTTCTCTGATTTTGACATTTCTAATCACCTGACTATGTTGTACAGGCTCACTAGGGACACTGTATGGTCCTTTTCCTTTTCCTTTTTTTTTTTTTTTTTGCTTTGTTTTGTTTTCATTTTTATTCTATATCTGGAATATAGTCCATATGAAAGATAACATTAAGATAATCTCTCTGGAATGTTTTTGAGTGAACATCCTGTTAATGAGCACCTGTAAAAGAAGTGTTCTTGAGAGTTAGTATTTTATGAGTTTAAAGGTCTTGCTCATTTTATGTACCAGTTTATCAATGGGCACCACCATATATGCATTTTTTAAAAATCACTCAAAGCAATCTTGATGTAAACAAGCGCACAATTGCATAATAAAGTGGTGGTAGGGAGTACTGCAAACAAAGGATACTTTCTAATAGAGTTGGCCTCTGATAGCTTTTCAGGCAAGACTATTTTCTGGAGAATCGAACTCACATTAATCGTATAATGTGTGTGTGTGTGTGTGTGTGTGTGTTGCAATAGGCAACATGCTTCCTTCTAGCCTTTGCTTTTCAGAGTAATCAGAATGGATTTTGCGTGTTCTGCAAAAGTTCCCTCATTGTTCATTCCCTGGTCCAACATAAACAGAGACTTGGCAAAACCCTTTGAACCCCAAACAATGATGGTTGCCTTTGAAGTCTCCCCAATGCTTGCTTTCCCTTATTGCTGTTCATGATGTTGTGCAATTTCTTTTCCCTTTTCCTGGCTGACCCTGTTCCTGCCACTTCAATTTTGGAATTCCTGCCCCTTGTATTCACCAAATCACAATGAAAAGAATGTCATTAGTTTTTATTTTGACTTGCAAGAACTTCCTCCTCTCATCTGTTTACAGAGCTGGCTCCCTGAAGAGGGCATTGTCAGAGGTCACAGTGGAAGCAACTGGCTGGTAGGATTTCAGTTCAATCCATGGAAGATTGTGCTGATCTAATTTTACTGACAGCTCTCCCATCCTCACCCTTTTTTAAACAGAGGTTTTCCTCAGGGAGTCCCTCCTAACACAACTCTCTTCTCCTTTACTGGCCAGGCACAGAGCACATTCAAACAGGCTTTCCAACCTGGCCTTCCTGCAGCACGAAATTATTTTGAAGGTGCTACCCAGGCACAACTATGGCTTCCAAAAGGTCCATTGCCCTTCCTTCCTTGTTTTTCTTTTGAGTCCACTCCAACTTTGCTCAGCTTTGCTGAGATCTTATGAGATCTAAGACTACTGCATCTTCTCCAAACTTCTGTTTCAATAAGCAATATCATTGGCTATGTCTACTGAGTCCTATTCACTCCCCCTGGGCCCATACATACCTCCTTCACTAATAAATGGTTTCATTCCACCTTCTGTCTCTTACATACCAGACATGGTAGATCTAGAGCCTATATTTCCAATGGACCTGGAGCTGTAAACAATTCATAATTATTACAGTTGGGTGGATTGCAGATCAACTGAAGAGCTGCCTGTGTAGGTCATGTAGGTTATATGATGTCCATTACTTCACCTCTAATTCTGCCTTTCCCAACACATTGCCCTCTAAATGGTTGCTCACCATCTTGGAAGGACTGATAGAAGTTGTAATCCCATATGTCTGGAGGGATCCATGTTGGAGAAAGATGTTCTTGGTTCACCTGTAAAGAATGCAGGATGATGCGTATCAGTCAGATTATTTATCTATGATTTTGATAATATATATGGTTTATTTTGTGGGTGGGGTTATTTATTATTTTTTACAGGAGGAAGGTGTTCAGGTGATGCTTTTGATTGTTAGCCACCCAGGAATTGGCAGCAATACAATAAATAAACATTGTAAATCTCTTTGGATATAATAACACAAGATGCCTAGTCTTAACCATTTCTTGGTCCTGCTGTCAGAAGGGTGAACATAATTGTTTGCCCACCTTTGCTGTTGTCCATGTGGATCTGCAATCTGAGAAAGATTGCAGTAAACGTAGTGGGATTATAAATTCTTCAGTCAAGATGCCAGTTAAAAAGCTAATCTCACCCTATGAGGTAATTGGCAATGATCCTTCTGTCAACTAGAGATTCCAAATCTGCCTGGGATCACGTCCCATCTGTTTGGACATATTTGTGGTTTTTTGATAATATAAATCAAACAGATTGTAATATTACTTTCTTCCTTATTAAAGAATCATTCTGCAACAACAAGCCAAGCCTATTTCCCCCCTCCCCCCATGAAAAGAAGAACAAGACACAATTCAGACGAAATCAGTTCCTTTTCCCCCAGCCCTGTCAGTTTCAGTGAGGAACTGTTACATAAATAGAATCAGTAGAGTAGAGTGCCCATAGAGTAGTAAAGCTTACTTTTTAGAACCACCACCTTGAGCTTCCAGAAATGTACCTCCTCTCAAATGTTCAATATGGACAGGACTAAATTTAGAATAGCCAGACAAAATGAGGCCAGAGGAAATTTGGGTAAATCAGGGATTGTAAGATGTCCCTGTCTGGCTTGTTGAGCTTTCTTTTCTTATTCTTCTTCTCTCTACATGATCTCCTTCTGCTTATGAAAGAAAGTGGTAATTCCTTTCTCTGAGCAAAGAGAGGTACAGCACAATCCAGTGATGGACAGAGAAACCCAGATATTATATCCAGCACCAGAATCTATTGGAAATATAAAATTCCCCTCTCACCCCTATGAGTGGTACGTGTCTTCCTCAATCTCAGCTCCTCTACTAGATCTTAGCTGTTTCTAGCACTGCACTCTTCTGGACAGAGAGCTCTGATGTTGTCCCTGGGATCTTTGGGAGCCACTCCCCCAGTTTAGGAGTCACAGCCCGGAATGCTCCTACCACCACTGGGACCACTTTGGCCTTGACTTTCCACATCCTCTCTATTTCCTCCTTCAGGCCCTGGTACTTCTCCAGCTTCCCATGCTCCTTC